CAAATACGAAAAAATTGATATTTTTAAGTCAACACCGTACACCATCAGATTTGTTGATTAGGATTTGCTAAAACCTAGTACGAATGACTAAATCATGACCACATATAATCACTAAAAAATTATACATGGACTCGTTTGATGGTTTGGAAAAAATGCACAAGTTAGATAAAAGATTCAATTCATTGATTCATCACAGCTTTTCTTTTATCAGACTTAACGATGTTAAACTTTTTGTACACAACGAATCACCCAACAAATACTTGATTTATAAAGATCGTGTCGATGGATATAATAATATTATTGTAAAGGTTTAACACATACATAACTAAAAAAATAAAGCTAAGACACATATATTTTTATCGGTTTATAACTTCAATATGTTACTTATTTATCTTGAACAACTTGAAATGATGAGTAATTATTCAATGATGAGGTTGCAGTGGTTGTCGGACTTCCTTTCTTCTCTTCTCCATAGACATCATGCATGAAAACAACTTCAAACAACTTAATCGATGAGTTTCCACTTGATTTTTTTGTTCTTGGTCTTACGAAAAAAAAAATTGAATATTAGGTGTTTTATTCTTGATTAATAGCTTGATTAAGAGCTAATTTTGATAAATTAACGTAATGTTACAAAACTATAACAATGCAATATTACATAATATGTTAATTAGTTTATATACACTACAATTCATGACTTTAAAACCTAAAAAATAAGCATAAAATACTGCGAACAATTTATATTTTGTAAAAAAATAAAGGGTAACGAAAAGGTGAGCTTACCTTGTTTACCAGTCCAAAACCACTTTTCCTCCCTCAATGATTAAATGTTAAATTTAAAGTCAATAATTTTAGCCATTTTTTTAATTATCATAATACATGTGAAACATCATTAACATGAAAGCAACATAGAGAAATTGTCCGCCTGGTAGAGTAATCAAACACAAGTAGTTATTCATCTTTAGATAAGTAATAATTAAGCACATACATGAGCCGATACTTGTGGATTGATCATTCTCACAACTTTCATCTGTTGGTCGAACTCCCATTTCCTAGCCGATACTTCTTTCAACCTCTTCACCACCATTGTGGTTCCTTCCTCTAAGATGGTCTTATACATTGTGCCATATCTTCCTTTTCATACAATTTAGTCCAGGCTCTGAGCGTGTCCTTAAGATCAAAGTTATATGAACTACCTTCAAAGAAAACCAGCTTGTTCTTCTCTGCCTAATGCACCCCACTTCCAAATTTGAAAGCCACAAAGTACAGTGGATTCTTACCCAATAACTTTTGTCGTCATCATACTTTACTAAACTAAATAACATAACCTCCAAATGTTAGTATGGTGATATAATGCGTTTTTGGCGCATTCTAACCCTTGTTTTGTAGGTTTTATCGAGTCTTTCGTTCTATTTTGAGTCATTTTAGGTCTAAAAGTGGCTGGAGTGGAGGACTGAAACTTGCAATGAGACTTGGCGAAAAAGAGGGAAACGGGATCTTTTTGAAGATCCTGAAGATAAAGAGCACCCGCTCCCGATCGGCCGACCTGCTCCGCAGAAGATCCACTTTTGGAAATTTTCATTAAACCTATTTTCGCCACCCAGAGTTGCCCTAATCGATTCCAGCCGCCGAAGCCCCCTTTAAAAGTAGAGATATCTTCGAGATTTGAGGAGGGACCCGAACGACAGAATGAAAAAGAACACAAGTGAGAAAGAGATATCGATACTTTGTTTTTAGAGTTTTGTGAGATTAAAGATTGTCTTCCA